TTGAGAGAGTGGGATGTAAACAATATTCAATATTTGATTTGGGTTCTTGATTACTTTTATATGGTGTCAAATTTGAAGATTAATATCCTTAATTCAAATTTGTCGCGGGTTGCAGATTCGGGTACGATTAAAGCTTTAGCTTCTTTTACCGGGTGTAGTGCAACTTTTTTTTTTTCCTTTCGTGTATGTTGGTTTTCCTCTGGGTGACAATATAGAGGTGACAATATGACGTGTAGGAAAGGGTGGAAGGTAGTGGTGGATAGATTTCAAAAAAGTTTATATCCTTAGAAAGTGAAAATGCTTTCTGCAGGGGTTAGTTAACCTTATTGAAGTTGGTTTTGGGCAGTTTAGGCATTTACTACATGTCTATGTTTAAAATGCCCCAAGGTTTTTGTCATAATTTGGAGGCTTGTTGGGCTAGATTTTTGGGGGTCGGACAAGAATGATAGACGGATGAGATGGGTCAAGTGGGAGGTCCTTTTGAATTCTCAGTAGAAGGGTGGGTTGGATATTCGCAGCTTGCAAGCTTTTGATGAGGCTCTTTTGTACAAGTGGAGATGACATTTTTTGTGAGTAGAGTTCTTTGTCGGTTAGAGTCTTTAAATCTATTCATGACTAGGGGTGGGTTCAAGCCAAGTTCTCTTCGTGTTCATGGTCACCGGGTTTGGTCGGGTATTGTTGGTTCTATAAACCAACTTCATGACATTGATGTTGTTCCTATGTCAGCTATACACATGGTGTTGGGAGATAGCATTGTAACGAGGTTTTGGATTGATAATTGGTGTGGGCATATGCTTTTTAGATTCAAGTTGCCTCGTCCCTATGCGCTTTCTCTATTGCAGGAAGGTTCGGCTTTGGAGTTTAGGTCTCAACATGCTGGAGTTTTTGTTGGCGTTGTACTTTTAGAGGCGTTGTTGGATCCAAGTAATTTTCAATGCTTTTGGTTATAGATACGGTTCAACTGTTTTCAAGACCTGATGGATGGGGGTAGGATCTGGAGTTTTTTTTGGTGAAGTCTGTTTGTTGTTATATTAACGATTTTCACCTTCCGGCAGGTCATATGGTTACTCGATGGAATAAGTATATTCCTATCAAGATTAATGTTTTTATTTGGTTGGTTATACATGAACGTATTCCTACAAGGTGTGATCTCGACAAGAGAGTTGTTGAAGTTGATTCGGTCTTATGCGTAATTTGTGGGGTCGATAGGAAAGATTGTTCCCATTTGTTTTTTAGATGCACAATTGTTATCGAGGTATGGAAGCAAGTTGCTTTGTGGCTAGATATTGACATTCCTTTGTTTAATTCGACTTTGGATATGACTCTAAGGATTGATGGTAGACCTACAACAAGAATGGAGCGTCTCAAGATTGGTGCGATCTTTATGACTGTTATATGGGTTCTTTGGACTTACCGGAACATGATGTTATTTCGTCATAACAAGTACCGAAAGCAATTTATTGTGTTTTGTTTTAATTGATTTTCTTCTAGAAACATTAAGGTTTCTAAGAATTGGAATGTAAGGGTTCAACATCCGATTCTGACTTAATTTATATTTGTTATTTGCTAGTTTCTAACCAGCTTTCATTATTTAATATATAGCTACCGTTCAAAAAAAATATAAGGGAAATATCTAGAAAAGTCTTCAAGCTTTGACCCTATTAAAGAAAAAAACTATCCCTGATTTTTTATTAATGAAGCCCAAGAAAACCGAAAACCATTAGCGTTAACCGGGTACAAGGTCCATTTTGCAAACGTTTATTGGTATCCTGGGTTTAATTGTAATTAAAAAAAATCAAAAGTGGCTTTTTCCTTAATAGGATCAAAATTTATGGACTTCTTTTAAGATTTCCCAACTTCTAAAACCAATTAAATATGTTATTGGCTAGTCTGAAGGCTCTTAGAAGAAGACAAGGGATAGATAAAACAAAAAATTACCCATAAAATAACATTATGATGAATTGATGTGTATATACATCATGGCTTAGGTTATTCTATTATAACTAATTATTGTGCGGACGTATGGACAATGCTATTATTTGAGAATGATAAATAAAATATGTTGTTTGATAATATAAATACGTTCAATCTTACATAATTATTGTCATTAACATATATTTTCACTAATTAAATCGTCTATAAGGTTATTATACACTTATTATTATTATTCTCATTTCTGTCAGAATGTTGTCAAAATGTTTATTGAGTCGTATTCTGTCAGAATGAAAATGAGTGAAAAACAATATGTGAGAACAAAAATAAATAATAATTAGCGAGAATGCATGAAAATGACGATATTTTTCTAAGGTTGAACGTATTCGCATTGCTAAACAACTTATTCTCTTAGTAAATCTCATAGAATAACATTGTCCACACATCCGCATAATAATTAGTTAGAATACTTGAACCTAGCTCTATACAACATTGTTGCGAATGTTTTCAAATGAATTTAGTTGCTTCTATTTTGCGGCAAACAAGCCAAACAAAATAGAGCATCTTTGTTAATGTTATTTATTTATTTATTTCGGTTGTTAAAATTTCAATTTCCAACAACCAGAGAAAACAAGAGGGTGAATGTTTTGAAACTCGTTTTGGTTGGCTTTGGCCAGTTTTCTACTCCGTCTTTTGGCAAAATAGTACACACTTTGCTTATCTAATTAGGATGCTCTGTTTAGTTTCATCTTAAAACTTCTAGTGTGTAGGCAAATAATTTCTCTTCAATAGCGTCTTTTGACCCATGCAATTTAGATCCTCTGTGGCTTTCAAAAATAGTTTTAACACTTTTAAGTTCACCAAACACTTGAAAGTCTCATAGATGAATTGTATACAATTCGAGATTTCATACTAGATGTTCTAAGCAATTGGCAATTGTCCATTCTAATCATTCAACCGGGAAAAACAAGTTGCATTGATGCCTGTGGAGAAGGATGGGAAGAGGTCACAATAAGATTACTGATTACTATTGGTAAGTAAAATTAACAACTACTATGCTTTAGGTTAAAACTCAAGGTTTTAGTATTGTAAATAGGATAATTCATTATCGAAATTTTTAGAGATTAAGAAAGTATATGTGCGTTTTGATAAACTTTCATAAGAATTAGAGATTAGTTCTTAAAAAAGACATAAAATATTGGGTAAATTACACCAATCGTCCCTCTTGCATATGCCAAAAAGCGTGTTTAGTCCCTATTTTCAAAAATTAACCTGGATTGTCCCTTGTTTGTTTAACGCTTGCATGCTCCGTCCCTGATATGCAGTTTTATTACGAATTTAGTCCATGTCAAATCTGAAATGACCATAATGCCGTTTTTTATTTAATTTCCAGTTATTTTTGTTTTTTTATTGATATTAATTATAGATTAATATTTAGAAAAAATGTATATCTCCTTATTTATTTCCAAAACCTCACCCTCACAAAAAATCAAAACACCACCATTTTATTTTCGGGCGGACCACCATCGCCGAACCACCGACTACCACCATCGTCAGAAAACCACCCGCCACCATTGCTGGAGCACCACTTACCACCATTATTATTGTCCAGAACCATGACATCTCTCTCCTCATCCTTTTCTGATCGGATATCCCTTTATTCTCCACACATCATCTTGTAATCTTCTCCACTATTCAACCATCCTCTTCATCATGAGTCACCTTCAACCACCAAGCACAACTCTTCTCTCATCGATGACCTTCAACAACCAAGAACACAAATCAGGGTTTCAACTTGCTCCCTAGGGTTTCGAGATTGGCGATCTCCTTCTTTTCCTGTGCATTATCACCTGTACTACGTCTCTCTTTTCTTCCTTTTCCGATCGACGATCTCTTTCTTCAGCTGTGCACCTAGGGTTTCAGATTCATATACGGGGAAATGTGTGGTTTCAGATCGAGAACTTTGGGCGTTTCATGACGGATTTTACTTTGGGGTTTCAGATCGAGCATCACCACCACTGATAATCTCTTCTTCTAGATTGCATCACAACCACAGTTAGAGTCTAGTCAAAAGGGGGAGAATAAGTGGTGAGACGAGTCTGGAACCAAAATGAAGTGGCGGTGGAAAATCCGTCGGTGATTCGCCTGAGGATTTTGATCGGAGATGGGAAGGTTTCTATTGAGAAGAAATGACACTAGAAAAGGGAAGGGGGAGGGTGGGTACCTGATATATATATATATATATATATATATATATATATATATATATATATTATATATATATATATATATATATATATATATATATATATATATATATATATAATTTAAAAATGATAAAACAATAAAATAAAATTAAAAAAGAATCCTTTTAAGGGCAATATAGTCTTTCTATGTCCATAGGGATGAAATGTGCAAGTTTTAAACAAACGAGGGACGGTCCGTGTTAATTTTTAAAAATAAGTACTAAACATGCTTTCTAGCATGTGAATGAGGGACGATTGGTGTAATTTACTCTAAAATACTCTTTAGGGTTTTGAGTTTTTAATAAGCCTATTTTCGTTCCTTCAATTTCATTATGCATCACTTTAAACCTGTTGGAGCTCGAAGTATACATCAAATTTTATTTTTGGCTGAACAACTTTTGCTAAGAATATTTTATTTCAACCATTTGATGTAAGCGTTCGTTTGAGTTTCTTGCATTTATGCATTTCACAGGGATTATGTTTCAAAAGGAGGATGCATTAACGTTTAAAGGAGAGGAAAGTGTTTATGTTAGATATCAAAATCATGAAACATGTTTAGAGATTGATACATGATTCAAGCATTAATCCAAGGAACAACCCTATATATATATATATATATATATATATATATATATATATATATATATAATATATATATATATATATATATATATATATGACAAACAACCAGTAAATTACACAATACATATATTTATATTTTCCAAATACAATGAAATACATATGTGCGTTTTGCAGTATGTATAGTAAGACACTATTGATACATGTTATTATATATGTATATATATATATGCATATATATATCCCGTTTAGGGTTTAAGAATAGTTAAAGTAGTTATATATATAATTTAATCATGCATCGCATTTAGAGACCTTTGTTAAAGCATTAGCAATCTCTTCAGCATTGGTTCCATTAACATAAGCAATCAGCGGGCTTTCTTCAGGAACTATGTCCTCTTTCAAGTAGCTACCGCGGCTTCTAAGCAACTCTTCACAACCATTTTTCACAACTCCTTTTAGAATAAGCGTCTTGTGGGTCCCTGCTATCAGTTCTTCGTAATCCGTGTCACCCGTTTCACCAAGGACCACGTACATATTCGCTACATTTAGCCTCCACCGCACAAAAAAGTACCTATACGTTATATTCACCTTAACAAATGTCAAAACACTGCAAAATTTTTGTATGTATTGCACTGAAACTGATGTCAATGAAACACAAATAACAATTTTTGTCAGGCCGAAAAAGGCAGAACAAGGTGGGATACCGACATGTTCTTGATATCTCGTATGTTAAAAAACATAAATGTCCTTTACATCTTATCATGAAAACTTGCTTAGATTGCATACCTAGTCTTGTTCAACCCATTCAAGTAATTATCGATGTAACAAAATGCAGCCTTAGGCTAGACTGAATTTTGTTACATGTGATTATAATAATGGAATGAACGTGATTAGACAAGCTTCATAAGACTAATTTACATGATGAGATGAGAGGACATTTATGTCTTTTAACATATGAGATATCAAGAACAATAGTACATGTTCGTATCCCACCTTATTCTACCTTTATAGGTGAGACAAAAATACAATTTGTGTCTCACTTACATTGAGACCGATTTTACCTTAGGGCTTGTGATCGAGACGCAAGGAGAGGAATCACTTGCATTCTTGTGGAGTTTCTACAATACATAAGATGACACCTTAAGCCCCTCATTCTAAATTTTTGTCTCAAATCATCCACCTTCTTTGCCTTTAAACACAAACAAAAACCCAAAATTAAAATCATAAAAGAAATCATTAGTTCGTTAACTAATTTGATTAAGTTACCATTTTCACGTCTTTTATCAAGTACGATAAGCAATGAGAGTTGCTCGATTTCACATCTTCTTCAATCACCTTCAAATTTTTCCCTTCTTCATCTCCATTCATCAGCTTCCAAATCGTCTTCTTAATCCCATCAGACCCCCACCTGTGATCCACATGCGACGCATAATCCGGATCCGGGTACAACTCACCACCTTCTTCACACGTACCCGGATAATACACCTCACTCCCACTACTACAAACCACCGCATCAAACTCATTCACTTTAATTTTCCCCAATTTCAAAAACTCCATTAACTCCGACAACGGCATCGCCGTCGATATAGCAACTCCGGTGACTTTCCCCAACTGCGCCTCCAATTTAATCGCTTTAAACGTCTCCTGAATCATCCCAATCATCGATTTCTCCGGAGCTCCGTTTACATCATAACAATCAACCGCTATAACAATCAACCTTCGTCTCTTCCTTAACATCGGATACTTACTGTTACTGTTACTAACCTCGCCGACTTTTTCCGATGAGGGTTTTTTCATCCTGCTCATGACCCGTTTGACTTGGTCTTGGATATCTGCGCCTCCGCCGTCGGATGAGTCGTTAATGGAGGAGAATTTGTCGACGTCGATGGAGAGGAGTAATGACGTGTCTTGTACGTCTCGGAGTGAGTCGTTTAAGGATTCGTCCCTTGGTAATTCGTCGGCGGGTGTGTCGGTTTTCCATGCGGGGTGTCTCATGCGACATGATGCGACACGTGTCAGGTATGTCCGACAGTGTTCCGGCCATGAAAAGAGGTGGATGTTTCTCCAGCCGCTTTTTTGGCATTCTTGCCATAAGTTCTTTTCGGATACAAGTTTGAGAAGAGCGTTTGCGATTCCTTGTTGATCGTGTGGATCGATTAGTAGCCCGTTGTTCAATGCCTGTGAATAGATGAAAAACAAAAGGGTATTTATGTCCTTTTATAATTTCTATATTTTTCTGTTTAGACTTATGAAGTGGAAAAAAAATAATATAATTACTTACCCTATGAATGTCAACAGGACCACCGTTTTTAGTTGCAACCATTGGAAGTCCATGAGCTGCAGCCTTTATCAAAGTAAAACACAGTATAAATACCAACTCTTTAGTATATTCATATAAAAAAAAAAAGAAAAATTCTACAAATATAAACGATACATAACAAGAGACCTCAATCAAAGTAAGCCCAAAAGGTTCAACCAAAGCAGGATTTATAAAAACTCCCTGTCACAATAACAATACAATTATAATCAAAATTTATACTTAAAAAAATTACTTAAGGTACATAAATATTTAAGATGTTATAAAAAATTAAAAAATTAACCTTAGTTTTGGCAGCAAGACGATAAATTTCCGGAACATCATTTTGTTTATGATGCTTAGGGAATGCCACTTGTCCGTAAAGGTCATATTTGTCCACCAGTTTTAATACGGTTGTGAGGACACTTGCGCTTCCAGCAGTCATTTCATCAATATCGTCTCTGTTCCCCATTATAAGTGTCTGTATATATTGAAGCATGTATATATGTTAACAACAATATATAGATGTACATAAGCATAATTAAGTCAACCTACTTACAAGATTAGCAAGCTTTCTCAAAGAATGACATTCTCCAAAAGCCTTCAAAAGGGTGGTAATGTTTTTCTTTGGATCTGGTCTTGACAATGCCAATATCATTGGTTTGTGTGGATTTGTCAAAAACCGCATTACCTACAACAATTTAAACAAATTATTTATGCTCTAAAGTTTTGTAAACGGTTATTCTTCCAGCAATCCTTAAGTTGGTTCACTGCTCACAAAAATCATATGAGAGGTAAATAAGGTTAGTTGGTCAACATTAGAACTATATATTACTAAGACTTGAAGTCTTGACCTTTTTGTAGAAAAAAAAAATGCAACAAATTTTTATGAAAATGACTATATTTGATAAATACAAAAAATATACTAACTTCTTGCCATATTGGTGGTACTGCTTTTGGAGAATTGCCTTCGGTGGTTAATGATAGATCATCATTGTCATTTTCTTGTTCTTGGATCACCTTGCTAAAATCCATTCCAGGAGGAATAACCTAAAACCAATCATATAAAAAAATTAAACTTAATAAAAATTCGTCAAAACCCAACTAAGTCATAATAAAAACGATATTTATTTTATAGAAAATATTAAATCGTAAAACGAAAACTTCGAAAAAAAATTGGTTTCCTTAAAATATCTCTTAAATAAATATAATTATATGCTGTAATTTTTCTTTCAATTCACTTTCATTATAAAAAAAAACACAACTTGCTAAGGATTGAAATTAACAAAATGGAAGGAATCAGGAATGATAACAAACATATTTTTTAATTCCAACAAGATAACAATTCTATTCCATCATACCAAACGCAGACCAAACGCAGTATAAATTAAAATAACATTACCGCCATCCTTGGCATATAGCGACCATGGCAATTCACACCCCGTCTATCACGAGCCCGTAAAACTTTCTCAAGTTTAACATCAAAACCATCATAAAGTCCCCATTGTTCATCAACTTCTTGTTTAGTACTTGTAATCACAAGTTCAGCCGCATCTAACGAAAGCTCTTCTGCTTCTATCCTCCTCATAATCCTATAAGCCGAATTAATATCTTCCTTTGATTGTCTACCTTGTTTAAGAAGTTGCTCTAGTTTGTTTCTACCAAGCGAATGCCCCGTTAAAACCATGGGAACATTAAGAGCACCCGAAAGGATAGCCGCACTATCGCCTGCATCCGCATAATGACCATGAATCACATACGGCCAAATTGGATGTCCTCCACCAATTTGTTCGCCTAAAACCGTGGACATGTTGAGAACGTGTGCGAGGGCCCCATCTACAAATTCTTGAATATAAGGCCAAAGTAATTCCTTGCGAAGATACTTGTCACGTGGGCCGAAGGGTATTCTTATAATGTAAGCTCCACTGCTTTCACCAACGTCATCATCGGGATCGTCAGTGCCAGCTGTCAACATCTCTGTTGGCTCCCCGTAGCTCCAATCTACTTCGGGTGAGGACACTTGGCGCGTGAAAAGGTCAACTCTATATACCCCGGGCGTTTTAGCAAGAGCTCGAGCAAGCTCTACTACGTACTTGATCTGGGATTCAAGATAAAAGATAGAAAACCAATATTAGGGCAATAATCGGTAACTAAATAGGGTAAACATGTAACATTATCAGGCGTACGTGCCAAGTCTTCGTATCAGGTTGCCCAAAGCACACAATATCTTGGTATGTGTGCCTGGGTTACATTAGGGCAAGAATGCAGGGACTAATACTGACAACTTCATATTAGATGGAAAAGTTATTTTGTTGTGTACACAATATCTTGGTATGTGTGCCTAGGTTATATTAGGGAAAGAATGCACGGACTAATACTTACAACTTTAATTTAATATCACATGGAAAAGTTATTTTGTTGTGTACCTGACCACCGGTGTCAGAATCGCGACCAAGCTCCATATTATCTCCACGTACCAAACCATGCAAACTGTTTGAAAAGTTTAAGTTATTTCCATGTTTGCAAATGGAAGCTGTGAGTGAAAAGGAAAAGAAATGATATTATACCTGATGAGGATAATGTAAAGCTTCTTCTCTTTTTTATCATCTGACCAAACTTCCACTGTAGAGGCATTATGTTGGTAAGTCTTCTTTGGGCTCTCACCTGACACTGTCGCTGGTTCCCCAAGAATGTCTCCTTTTTCTGCTTCAGACAAGTCTTCAGACATGTCCTCCCTTACATCACTTCGCCCTTGTTCTCTTTCAAACTTCCGCTTTTGTATCCGTTGATAATCCTCCCATTCCAACTATTTCAAGTACAAAAAAATTAGAAATTTTCCTGAATACATGTAAAGGGATATATAAAGAGATTGAAAACCTGCTTAAAATCTGTTTTTCATGGTTAACATTCATTCAAAAGAAAATTACAGAGAATGGGTATGTATAATTGATGAAACAAAACTCAAGAAGAATAGCCTTTGGATGAAAACAGAGTCTAACACACGAACTAACAAAACGTGCAATGATTAGTTGTACAATGATGCATTGCAATTGGCAACAACAATGGAGGAATTGGACTTCAAACGAATCAAATTAGATGCAAATACGATTCTATTTTATATTTAATTGAAGATGGATAATCGATCGAGGGATATGTTATATGAACCTGTTTCTTCTTGCGAGTGAGATGCCAAATACGCCAACACATATTCTCGAGTCGGGAACTTCTTTCTCTGGTGTTTCGTGTAGCGACGACCTTGATCCATGTCCGATGCAAATCAGTCTCATCGACTCCTGTAACGACTTCTTCAACGAAATACTTTGTCGGATTAAAATGCCCTTGGTCTCGCAAATTCACCTTGCTATCTTCAATATTCGATGGTTTACTACTCAATATCGCCTCTAAATACCCATTGATCCATTCGTTCACAGCCATTTCTCATCAATCAATTAAATTAAATCAGCAAAAGAGAAAAAAACATGAATTAAATTAGTTGATATTCATTCATCTGAATGGATTTTTTTGTGAATTCGATTTCAATTCTGATTCCGATTCCGATGTACGAGTGAGGAGAGGAGTTTTGTTAGGAGAGAGACTCGGGATGAAGAGAGAGAAAGATGGAGGGTTTGTATGTATCATGTATGAAAACACACAAAACGAAGATGATGCAATGTACAGGGGAATCACATGGCAGTTAACGATGGGGAGACGGTTAACACAAAACGACAACGTTAGCATTTTTGCAAAACATTATTTTTTTTTTTTTAGTTTTTTTATTTTAATAACCAAAATGGTTTATAAAGTTTTGTAAACAATGATCATGAATTATAAGTTATATAAAATATAAACAATCTTTTTGTTTTATTTTTCTTTTCATATACCTATTTATATCTTGTATTTATAAGTTATATAAAATATAAACAATCTTTTTGTTTTATTTTTTCTTTTCATGTACCTATTTATATCTTGTATTTATTTTAAGGAAAAATGACTATTGAGGGTAACTAACCGTTGCGTTTATTTTCATTTGGTCTATTTCCTTTTTTTTCGTACTCAATATACCATCGGATTTGTTGTTTGTGTTCACCATAATCCTTTTGATCGGCTTTTAACCTGTGATAGCCGGTCAAAGGGTTATGGTGAACACAGATAACAAGTTTGATTGTATATTGAGTATAAAAAAAGGGACCAAATGAGAACAAACTCAACAGTTGGTTACCCTCCTGAGTCATTTTCCCCGAAAAGTTAAATGAAATTAAAGTTTCAAAATTATCAAAGACTGCAACCTTCTTTGGCCATAACATATATGAAGAACGTTTTGGAGGGGTAACTTTGTTAAAACATGGTCTATGCTATGCTTACTGTGGTTAGCTGCCAACACCTCTCTGCAAAAAGATATGACTGTGTATGAGATGTATATTTATCAGCATAAACGTTTACCTCAAAGTATATTATGGTGATGTGTCTGCAAAAAGCTGCATGATATTGTACATATTGATGTTGTATTTTATCCCATGAATTCGATCTTAAAGCTAAGTAAACTCAAAAATCACAGCACTTGTGATTCCACTCGTTTGTAGACTTGTCTAGAATCCATGATACGATAAATCATTTGATTGGAAATGTAAATGTAGTCATGAAATGCACCTGCTTAGTCAAGATTCCCCTAATAAATATTCAAGTGCATTGCAAAGTTGTACATGTATGAATAATGTTCTTTCGTGGGTTATGTTTTGAAGAGAAGCAAGAATGAATCTCATAAAGTCATTAATATCAGCAGGAGATGACATGAGATTTGCTGTAAATGAGTAAAAAGAAAATGATTCAGGAGGGTAACCAACTATTGCATTTGTTCTCATTTGATTCATTTTCTTTTTTTGTACTCAATATACAATCTAACTTGTTGTTTGTGTTTACCATAACCCTTTGACCGACTATCATAGGTTAAAAGCCGGTCAAACGGGTTATGGTGAACACAAAGAACAAGTTCGATGGTATATTGAGTGCAAAAAAAAGGAAAGAGACCAAATGAGAACAAACACAACAATTAGTTACCCTCAAGAGTCATTTTCCCATATTTTAATGTCAGACATAAAGTCACAATTCTCTTTATATTGAAAATTGAAAATTATAAATAGAAAACAAAGGTCTTACAAGGCGAGTGTGTGCCTTATAGATATGTTTGCATATTTTTTTTATAATAATGAAAATGTAAATTGGATAGAAAATATATTCGGTGAAACAAATTATGTTTCGAGAGAACTAAAACCAATATTTAAACTACTGTTGTAAATTTTGTTCGCAAAAGAAACACGGGTAAATTTATTGCCATGTTATAACGTGGTTGACTTTAAATTTATCAATCACAAAAGTAACACGATATTGTATTTACTTTTTGTATTATTTTGTTAACACGATATTGTATTTACTTTTTGTATTATTTTGTTAAAATATTTTGTGACATGGGAATATAATTCTAGTAATTTTGGAGATAAAAAAAATATTTTTAAAATATAAAGTAAATGAAAAATTTTGAATTATTTTTTTTAAATATTATTTTCGTCATTTTTTTAACCAAAAAAAAATAATAAAAAATAAAGAAAATTACCGTTTTTTCAAAATATAAATGAAATATTCTAATAGAATATTATACTGTAAATATTTAAATTTTTTTTAAAATGATAGAATATTGTATTAGAATATTAAACTATAAATATTCAAAACATTCTAATAAAATATTAAAATATTCTAACAAATCTAAAAATTCAAGTAAAATATTAGAATATTTTAACATGTCCATCAATTTTAGTAGAATATTAAAATATTCTAACATTCTAAAAATTCGATTTGATTATTTAGAGTATAATATTTTATTAGAATATTTTACTTATATTTCGAAAAAAACGATGAAATTTTTATTATTTTATTATTTTTTATATTTTTTTTGATAAATTAAATAACGAAAATAATATTCTAACATTCTAAAAATTCGATTTGATTATTTACAGTATAATATTTTAATAGAATATTTCACTTATATTTCGAAAAAAACGATGATTTTTTTTATTTTATATATATATATATCTATATATATATATATTATATATATATATATATATATATATATATATATATTTATCGAAGATGAGTGGCTAGGATCACGTCTCCATGTCTCACAAAATTAGCATGAACTCAAATGAACCTCTCTCTCCATCTCTCCATCTCTCTATCTCTCTCTCCTCTCTCTATATATATATATATATATATTATATATATATATATATATATATATATATATATATATATATATACTAGAGGTAAAGAATTCCAATTACGTGGAGGGTAATTTCCATATTTTATTTGGATTGTCAAATGTAAGTGCATCACTATTATAGGTAATGAATTCCAATTACGTTGCTATGATTAGTAAAGAACCAAGAATGTTGTTGTTATTGTTAAGGAGATTGAAGTATATTGATATTATGGGCATGAAAAGTAGATTACATTGCTATTAGGGATAAAGAAATGAAATTACAATGGTATTACTAATAAATTGTTTGTTATCAGCCATGCGTAGTTCAACTATAACTCCCACATTGTCATCCCTTGTTGTAGCTAAGATATGCACCCTGGTAGCATTTTGTAAGTGAATTATCTACTCGGTTATGCTACTTTCTTTTTTCTATTTCATTGTACATTCAACTAAAATGATAATATATAGACAAAAATGAAAACAGATAAATTTTTTGATGCAACCAACACACTCCCAACACAAATTTTATGCAACAATAAATGAATTATGGCCGGTTTTTCTTTAAAATGAAGAATACATGAAAAAGAACTTGGAAATGAAGAACCATAATCAAATATACAAATAAGAAAGATATCACCATAATAAGCAAATAAATGACTAACTTTTCTCCTTTAATGCTGAAAAATTAAAAAAATGGTATTTTGTGGCTAGATGCATTGCGAGTTTGTAAGCATTGTACTTTATTAACTCAAATTTTAGCGGCCTACTTTATCCAATTATGAGCATTCCTTTTGCATCAGGCTATTGTACTTTGAAAATATACCCAATTTAAGCATTGAAAATTGATTTGTATTCAAATGATATTGCTACAAATGGGTAGATATTTAAGTGGGATGCTATGATAAATTAGTGAATGGAAGCATGTGGCTACTTTTTGCATTTATGCCTTTTTTTACCTTTCGTCATGAGTTAGTCACAAATGAGGATCATCCTTTAAAACATTATGAACACACTGTCCAACTATAAGCCATCTAATGAGTTCAATTAAATTAAACTGCATTTAAGAAGATAATAGTAACAACGGTTTTAAAAACTGCCAAAAAGTCCCATTTTTATTAAAAAAACTTTTTTTGAAATAAACAAAAATTATTAAATAAAGTTCACCTTATGATTTTAGAGTAAGTAAGGGTTGTTATTTCCATGTTTTCAGAAGATGTCACAATAATTTTATACGTATCAGCCGCATCATCATACCATAGAAGCAAAGACAAGGAACAAATTAGAATAAAATTGGCAACTTTTGAGGGAAATTGATGCTTACTGGATTGTATAAACTCCCATACGATAATTTTAGAATGAACGTCATCCTTCCTGCTTTGCATGAAGTCCCGTTGTAAACCTTATCAAGCTTTATTTAAATGAAAATACGTTACAACCGAAAGTCAAACACCCGGATAAAAAATGAAGGTAGGCTTCTATTGATCAGTTTTGCACAAGTTTTTACATTCCTCTACCTTTCATCATGGTCATCCACCATTACTCTGTAACGCCCGGGTTTCGGGGCTAAGCATTTTTAGACGATCTAATAGTCTAGGTCAACTATTGTAACTCTTTTGATGTAATAAAAATGAAATATTTGAATATTTTGTGAATTTATGTGCTTATTATTTAATTATAAATGTATAATTAATAAAGAATAAAAATAAGCGTCAAAATTAAAATATGAGATAAGCCCGATATCTTTACATAAAGTTCTGGTGGTCAAAACAAGGATTCCGGAGATATAAAGAACGCCGAAATCCGAGTTATAACGAAGAAGTTATGACCCGACGAAGTTTCACGACGGAACCGGCACGATACCGGGAAGCGTGAATAGTGAATTTATGATAAAGCGAGTTTTTAGCCGACACGACCTAAACGAGAATCGAAGAGCTCTTTAATTATGGCGTAACAATAAAAAGACAGACGAAAACGGACGTCGGATGAAGAAGTTATGAATTTTTAACGGACCAATCCTGTCCTGGCCTGTTAAAAATATAACTTTTAAAATAAATTCAAAATTAGCCAATGGAGTCTAAACGAAAGTTGTAGATTACGTTCCCGCCTTCGCGTGGATATAAATAACGTCAAAAACGGAGCTCGTATGCGAGAGTTATGATTTTTCTAAGACGGGAGGCCGATACACGATATTGGGTGACGTGGCACCACCAGAAATTGGACATGTGGCAC